CCTGTAATTTCACAGAGGGCCCTAATGAGCCTACCTGGACCAGAGGCATCTAAAAGCTGCAACACTGTACGTGCACAGAAGCACCTCAGGAACATCACCTAAGAGACGTCTGAGGAGGGGAGGGCCGAGCACTCTCACTCTTTACTCTCTATGCTTCAATACTGTGTGACTATTTTATGACATTCATGATTACTTTTGTAAGTAAAAGGCCAAAAAATAAAAAAAAATAAAAAAACAGAAAATATATTTTAAATAACAAGACTCCCCTATATATATATATATATATATAAGCAGAAGTGTTAAGTCTGGTTATCTCTGGGTTGAAAAATTATTTCCTCTTTGGGAGTTTTTGTTTTTCTAAAAGCTTGGTAAGTGTATGTTTTCCTATCAGGAAAAAAACAAGAAAAAAAAAAAAAAAAGAAAAACTAGAAGTAGGAAAAAAAAAGAAAGAAAAAGATACAAGCCAAAAATCTCAGCTGAAAAGGGAAAAGTTGTTTTCATTGGTGTTCTGTGTGTTTTCTGTGTATGATGTTAAAATTTGCCATAACAGAGATTTCACTAAATGTGTCAATAGGGATGCTTACAGCCCTTCAGCACTGTCCCACTCACTTTGATTCTTATCTCAGATGGGAAAAAAGTTGTTTTCATTGGTGTTCTGTGTGTTTTCTGTGTATGATGTTAAAATTTGCCATAACAGAGATTTCACTAAATGTGTCAGTAGGGATGCTTACAGCCCTTCAGCACTGTCCCACTCACTTTGATTCTTATCTCAGATGGGAAAATCCCCTTAATAAATTTAAGACCTACCAAGAACTTCTTGGTTTCAGTACAAATGAGGAAATAGAAAGGATTGTGAGGACCAGAGAGGAAACACAGAGGGGCCAGGGTGATCACGCCCTCCCAGCAGAGAAAATAATCAGAACTGAAAACAGAGAAGAATAGCAACCAAAAGAATGTTGGTGGGCCTGACAACAACCTTCAGTTTTCAAATGCCCCAGGGACTGGCCTGAAGTCTGGGCACAGGGCGGGCACTGGAAATGCCAACAGGAACCGTGCAGACCAGAACTTCCTGTTGAATGCACCAGCAGAAGGGTTAACAGAAAACATCACTGTGAGGCCAGGAAAAATCCCTGGAAATACGATGTCCTCAGGAAAAGGAAGGGAACAGTCCCACTGCATTCAGCATGGGCCAGGACACATATGGAGTTCTGTGTCTGGTTCCATTGGCTCACAGAACAAATATTTATTGAGGTCTCCTGGGAGACAAGCAGAAGTAAAGAAAAACCAAGTCCCTGTGCACACTCAGGGAGCTGCAATTCAGTGGAAGAGGCAGACAACAAATGTATATATATCTAAGTATATAAATAATGAATAAGCAATGCATAGTAACTGATAATAAGTGAATTATAAGTATAAATATAAATAAGTATTTCATAATTACTTATATATAAATACGTAAATAAACAGAATGCCAGGTGGTGATATGTTTTGTGAAGGGGATGGGGAAAGGGATACAGAGTGACGATGGTGCTATTTAAGTTAAAATGATCTAGGAATGCCTCTCAGAGGATAAGCGAGATATGTATCTATGGCCAATATGTTCCAGGCTAGGAGAACAGCAAATACAAAGGCCCTGGGGTGTTAAAGGAAAGCAAACATTTATTCTTCATTTAACCGATATTTATTAAGGGTGCCACTGTAGTGGCTGAAGATATAAAGACATAGCCCTGTACTCAAAGTGCTTGCAGTACAGTGGAGGAGAAATGCAAACAATTATTACACTATGTGTTTTATAAGGGATCCCTAGAGATATGGCAGAAATCAGGGTAGGCTTCCTGGAGGTGGTGCTGAGAGAAGTCTTGGGGATGGGGTGAAGACAGGGGAAAGTAGCAGAAGAGGTACATTCCATGCGGAAAGCACAGCATAAGTAAAGGCATGGAGGTGGGACTCGGTGGCAGCTCAGCACCTGGGGCCATCAGGAAGGACAGGCAGCAACACAACAAATTGTAGGCATGGGGGAACAAGGGACAGAGAGGCCACTCAAGGCCACACTGTGTGAGGAGGAGTTGAAAGAACTAGAGATCTGAGAGGCGCACGGGCCTTCACATATTTGAAGGGAAAGGACCTAACTTCTCTTGGGTTGTTCTAGGGGCAGAACTAAAAGCTGAGAGGGAAACTACAGGAAGACGGACTTTTCAATTAGGGCTGCCCAGAAGTGGAACTGAGGCCTGTGGAGGTAGTGAGCTTTCTCACCCAGAAGCGTTCTGACACAGGCTGGACACCACCTGTGAGGGAGCAGAGGAAGGGCTGCCCCCCAGGGTCTGAGAGGGGGCTGGAGGAGTGATTCTGTTTGGAGATAGGAAGGGCTTGTGGCTGGCATAAAGGCTGAGCCCTTATGGGTATAGGCTGAGCTGGAGGGTAAGGAAGAAGGGGTAAGAAGATGAGGGAAACCAAAAAAATGCCTTCTAAGGCAGGAATTCTGGGTGTGTGGCTGGGGACAGCTCGAGATCCAGGGTACAAACTGCAAACCCAGAAAGAGATCCAGGAGCTGCCACCAACCCTGCCTCGCTACATTTTGCCAACCACAGCTGCCCTCTCAGGCTGCTCCTTGGTGAAAATGGCCATAAAAGCAGAGTCAAAGATGCTCTGATGAGTGGAAGGACCTGCAGTGCACTAGGACGATGGTCTGCATGCCTGCACCCACACCCAGCGTGGATCCTGTGGACAGTCTCGCCATGTGGCCCCACAGCCCCGCCCACTCCCGAGGCAGTCTCTGCACTAAACTCACTGGCCTAGGATTGCTTCAACCTCCATCCTTACCTGGCTGCTTCACAGTGACTTCCGTGCGCCCTGAGACCTCCTCTGCCAGCTTGTACCAGGCATAGTTGGGGCTCAGCAGCCACTCCTCCACGTGGCAGTAGTAACTGCCACTGTCGCTGACCTCAGCTCTCTGAACGGTGAGACTGAACAGGCCCCCGGATACGTGCCTCTCAAACTGGAGCCTGGCTCTCAGGCCCTCCTCCTCGGCATAGGTGCCGTACTCAAAAGCAGAGTTGTGGGTGGTCTTGAGGATGAGCTTGCCGTCAGCGTCTGAGGGCTTGTGGACATACCAGAGCACAGCAAAGTGAGAGTTCTGGCTGGTCTGAGACTTCACTGAGCAGTTCAACTGAATGGGCCTGTTTTCCACCAGGGTGAGGGTCCTCTTCGATTTGCTCACCTGTAGCTTTGTCACTGCAAAGCAAAGAGAAATGGTTCAGAAGAATCATCACACACTCTTGGAAACAAAGCCCATCCCAAATCTCATTTCCAGGCTCTGAGCCTGGCTTTGTCCAGCACAGTTCCTAGAGCACTTGACATTGACAGGCTTCCTCCAAAACCAGACTCAGCATGAGGAAAGCAGCATGGAACTGACATCACCCCCAAAAACCCCTCCCTCTGCCTCCTCCTTGCCATGCCTGGCTCAGCCACTCACTCTCTCTCCTCTGTCCCCTGCCTGTTCTCCCTGCCATCCAGGGTGGCCCAGCTAAAATACAAATCTGCCCACTGCATGTCCCTGCTTACACAGTTTAATGGCTCCCGACTGCCTATAGGCACTAAAGAAAAGAACTCCTTTCCACCGCACAAAGTCTCTCCAGAATCTGGCCCTCACCCAACTGTCCTGACTCATCTCCCGAGCCTCACCCTCCAGCACCCCGCTCCCCCCACACAGCTTCGCCCTGAGCTCTGGGCTTTGCTCTGCAGTCCCCTCTGCCTGTCCCCTTCTGCCTCCTCCCCACTCTGACCCTTCTCTCCACTCATCCTTTAGTCCCCTCATTCCCATCACCCTGGGCTAGATGCCCTTCTCCTCAGCACCCTCTACACGTCCTCCAGGCTGTTTTCCTTTCTCCCTAGACTGTGAGCTCCCTGAAGGCAGAGAACAATGTTTGCTGAAATATGTGCGTGAGTGGGTGAATGAATGGAAGCATGTTGGAGAAATATGGTAGCAGGAAGAGGATGCTGGGTGGGTCTTTCTAGGGGAGAGAGAGAGAGAAGGTTGAGAAGATAATGAGCAATGGGACAAGCAAAACAAATAGAGCCAATTCCAGTTCCCCTTCCCCTTGCTCTCCTGCTCCAAGAAGAGAAGGGAGGGCAGACTCCAGAGTGCTACTCCAGCTGCTCGGTCATGACGATGTTCACCTTTCAGGTGGCAAGAAGCCAGGGTCTAATGAAATATATCTTAGGAAGGTAATTTGAGATTGCACCCACTCCATCATTATTATGTTTCCCTCTGCTTTCCCAATACTAAGTTCTTCTTAGGGAACTGACAGTAAAAGCATCATTCTATCCCCCCTCCTCTCTTTGCAGTTGGCTTTTCAGCCAAAGGACCAAACCACTTGCTAGCTGTGAAGAAAAGCTGGGGTAAGGTGCAGATCCCACACAGGGAGAGCAACCAGGCTTCTTCCAACTAGGTTTTCCCAGAGCAGAGAGGCAGGGAAGACTGCCCTTTCCAGTCTATCTGGTCAGTCTCCTGTTTCTTTAGGCCAGAGTTGGGCTTCAGGACCAGATGTTGCATCCAGATGCAGGACTGAGCCCACTGGTCAGAACCCTGAGGTTCCCTGACTGCACTGGTTGGCCGGCTTGCTCAGAGCTTGGTGTGTAAAGACAGCACCAAGGGTTGAGTCCCATGCGTCAAGGAATGGAAACTTTTGAAAGCCACAGACTGCTGCTTGATCCCCCTGGTAACATACAGACAAATGTTCTGAATGAATGTGAGAATTTAGCAAGATGAAGTGTGGCAGTATCCAATACCCAACATCGTTACTGCAAAAGCAACCCTGAGGACACATCCCCTGGTGGTAAATCAGACACTCTCCACAAAGGACTGCTGAATTCACATACTTACAGACCTTCTCAAACATCACGCAAATCAAGCACCAATTTGTGAGAAATCCTATGTCTCACGCCACCCCCCTTCTGGTTTCATCTTTTTTGTTATAAGGCCCATCTTCTACCTTCTCCCTTCTTCAAACACAGAAAGTCCTCCAGGGCACTCTGAGAATCCAGGGCAGGGTTTACCATTAAGCTCCCAAGCTCTGGAAACTAGATGTGCATTAGCTTGCCAGCCAACTTTTCAGATTAGATTCCTATAATACTTGAAACAACCGGCTCCTTTTCATTCCTTTCCAACCCAATTCACCACATGCAAATAATGTCTATAACAGTGCAAACGACACCACCTGAATTACCTGGTTCTTTGCCAAAAAAACTGGGTTGTTCAGTGTAGAGTAAGAAAGAGCTTTAAAATGTATTATTAATTGGGGCCAGATTATTTTTTGCAACTGTTACTAAGGAAACCTCAATTGCTATAGTAACTGCATATGTTAAACTGGAATCCTATGACTAAACTTCAATTCGGTCACATGGTCTGAGAGCAAGAATCCAAGGAATAAAATGTTTCAAAGTATTTCCATTTTTTTCCCCTTCCCATGTCAAAATATTGTGAAGTGTTGAGAAGCTTGAAAGAGAGGCATTTTTAAAATTTAGTGCATGTCTGACAGGAGGGCAAGGGGTCAGCTCCTATTCTACACTCTAGATTTCTTCCCACATGTTAAAGGCAGGGAGGACCTTTCCTGAAGCCAGGAGAGACTGGGACATGTATAATTAGGAAGCACTCACACATCCTGCCACAGCACTGCCTTGGGCAGTATGTGGCCTTGTATATCACCTTCCTCCACGGAGGTAGGAGAGCCCAGCCCCTTTAAAGACTATATATGTTTTCATCTGCAAAATGAGAATAATAATATGTATTTGCCTCATTAGGAGTGTTGTGCAGACTAAAAGCAATAGTCTATAGGAAGAGTTTAGCACAGACACTGGCATATAATACTCAGTAAACTCTAGCTATTCTCCTTCCTTTTGGGTTTCTATGCCTGGTCCCAAGTTCAAAGCATAAATGGCAATCTTACCTCTAAAAGTGCTATCCTGGACCAGCAGCATCAGCATCACCTGGGAGCTTGTTAGAAATGCAGACTCTGGGCCGAGCCCGTGGCGCACTCGGGAGAGTGCGGTGCTGGGAGTGCAGCAGTGCTCCCGCCGTGGGTTCGGATCCTATATAGGGATGACCGGTGCGCTCACAGCACTCACTGGCTGAGCGCGGTGCGGCCGGTCTCAAAAAGGACAAAAAAAAAAAAAAAAAAAAAAAGAAAGAAATGCAGACTCTCAGGCCCCACTCCAGACCCACTAAACCAGAATCTGCATTTTAACAAGATCCCCAATGATTCAGATGTGCTTGAAAGCCTGAGAAACCCTGGACTTGGCTATGTGGTGAATGGACTAAAGCAATAAATGGAGAGTTGAGAGAAAAGATGATGAGGACTGAGGTTAATCCCCAGCAGTGAATCTGCAGGAAGAAGAAAGAATCCAACAAGAGGCAGGAAGAAAGGTCAGACAGGCTGTGGGCAATGCTGCACCTGCAAGAGCAGCCACCATCTCACGCCAGCCAGGCAGCTCCCAGGGGCCGTACCCACTTGAGGGAATGGCCCTTTCTGCAACTGGAGAGTTTCCTTCCCAGTCTTCGGATCAAAATGTAAAGAATCTGTGTTTTGTATTATAGGAGAGGCTGTTGTGTTACAAACCGTTTTTCTAGCAATAAATACAGTTTTACTTATTGTCAAATAAAATTTGTAGGAGGCCAGCGATTTGGATTAAGCTCCTGTACTGAGCCCAATGGACCAAATCAATATGCAGTCATTCGTGCTAAATGAAACTAACTTAGTATCACAGGCATATTAACAAATAACTGAGTTTCGGTCAGTTACAGCAGCTGAGGTTTGTAGTAGTCTGTAGGTAGTCAGTTGATTCAAATAAGGACACTGAGCTGTAACCAATTATACTGTCTCTATACCTTACTTGTTTTCTATACATAAATACTGCCTGATCATGTTGCTGGGGAAAGTTCCTTAAACCTGTTCTGGTTCCAAAATTCGCAAATTGTAAATAGAAGCCAATTAAGATCTTTAAATTTGTTGTAATTTTGTCTTTTGGTATCAAGGTGAGAGACAGCAGGAGGAAGGAGGCCAACCCACCCATGCTTTGGGTTTTGCTTTGTGTGTACTCTTCTCACTCAATAAAGGATTCCCTTAAACTCCACTGTAGCTCTGTTACATGCTGCCTTACACTGAAGGTAATTTTTTAAAGGTCTTCTCTTTCCTACAAAATTCTAAGCATCTCAAGGGCAGGGACTATGACTCCATCATTGCTAAACAAATGAATGGACTGAATAAATATACAATTAATCTTTTAAAGGAGGAGCAATTCTGATTTTGACAGGAGGGAGGGAACATTTCCAAAAGTATGTGACCTCTGAGCTAGGCTCTGAGAAATGAATGAGGTGTTCAACAGGCAAAGGAGGAGTGTGAAAAGGCACCTGGGAGAGAGGAGACAGGTAGATGACAACTTCTCTGTGCCTACCTGCAGTCAAGTGTGGTGGGTGAAGTTAGAAAGGTAAGCGTCAGCCAGATTTGTAGGGACCAGAGCTCGCACTTGACCCTGACCACCTGGGGCTCTATGGATCTGCAGCATCACCTGGGAATACATTAGAACCTCGCTGAGTGGGGCCCAGCACCCTGCGGTTTCCTGAGATTTCCAGGTGACTGGGTGCACACTCAAGTTTGAGAAGCCACAGGTGTGGTGAGGAGGTGGCCGCCGGTAGGCCCAGAGACAGCAGTTTCAGTTCAACGGTGTGAACAGAAGCCAGAGAGTAGCCGGTGAGAAGGAGGGGGAAAGAGGAGGACATTGTTCTTTGTTAAAGACACCTGACAGTAATTTCAGGGATGGAGGAATCCAGTGGCTGGGACAGGAGACATTGTTTTTGAGTGGAAGGAAACAAGTCAGCCTAAAGCCTGGGATAGAATGCTGGGGAAGTGGGTGGCAAAGGCACCTGCCAGAGTCCCAGCGACCTTAACACCCCTGGGCTCCCTCCTCTTCTCTCTCCATACAGAAATGCCCTAGTTGAGCCCTTAATAATCTCTTTCTTAGATGGTTATAATCAGCCTGCATACAAGTCTCCCTGCCTCCAGCCTTAGCCACTGCCAGGAAGATCTTCCTAAAGGGCAATGGGAGTATGTTACTCCCCAGCTTAGAGCCTGTCTACAGTCCCCATCCCACGGCCCATGATAGCAGTCCCCAGCAGGGCAGCCAGTGCCCCAGGACATCGTGGAAATCTGTAGGCAGGTCTTAGGTGGCCACACTGA